GACCCCTTGGGGACACTTTGGGGACCTGGGGCTGGGACAGGGACATTGGGGACAGCCCAGGGACAGGCCAAGGGACACTGGGGACAATTTGGGGACCTGGGGCTGCCACTGCAGATGTGGGAGGAGCCCCAGAGAGGGGCGGGGCTGAGCGACTGGGTGTGGTCGGGGTGGGGCCTGTCTTAAAGGGACGGTGGCCGTTTAAAGGGGGCGTGGCTTAGCTGAAAGGGGCGTGGCTCAGATAAGGCGTGGCGCTTAAAGGGGCGTGGTCAGAAGGTAAACGGGCGTGGCTCCGTTAAAGGGGCGTGACCACATTTAAAGGGACAGCACTGCTCCTAAAAGGGGGCGTGGCCACATTTAAAGGGACAGCACTGCTCCTAAAAAGGGGCGTGGCCACATTTAAAGGGACAGCACTGCTCCTAAAAAGGGGCGTGACCACATTTAAAGGGACAGCCCTCCTCTTAAAGCAGCCACGCCCCACCTTCCCCCCGCCCAGCCCAGCCCAGCCCGTACCTGTCCCGCAGGTGTCGCGGGGGGGTCCCTCGGGGCTGGGGGGCTGTGCCAGGTGCGTGTCCCAGGAGCGCAGCACCAGCTGCTTCTCGCGGGGTCCCCAGGCTCCGGAGTAGGGGTGTTTCTGGCGGATGTGGCGCTTGATGGTGCTGAGTTTGAGCGTGGCCAGGGCGCTGCCGCACACCAGGCAGCGCATGCCGTGCCGGGCGGCGTTGAACTCCATCAGGTACTCGGAGCGCCAGCGCTCGTGGTAATAACGGCGATGGTCCCGGCCCGGCACCCGGCTGCGGCCCGGCCGCGACGCCCGCCAGTCCCGGGGCTGATCCTGGGGCTTTTCCCGAGGTTTCTGGGATTGCTCCCAGGGATGTTTCCGGGGCTCCTGGGGCTTCTCCCGGGGTTTCTGGAGATGTTTCCGGGCCTTCTGGGGCTGGTCCTGGGGCTGCTCCCTGTTTTTCTGGGGATGCTCGCGGGGCTTCTGGGTTTTCTTCCAGGGTTCCTGGAGATGTTCCCGGGGCTCCAAGGTCCAGCTCTGCCCCCGCGGGGAAGGGGCTGCAGGGGAGGCCGGGGAGGGAGGTCAAGGTATGGGGGGAGGTTCAGGTATTTGTGGGGGGGGGTCTGAGGGGTGCAGGGGACACCCAGGATTAGGGGAGAGACTTTGGGAGATCTTAAAGGGACAGAGCAGCACAAGGGGCAGGGTCCTTAAATGAGGAGGGGGTGGGAAAGGGAGGGGCAGGGACACCTGGAAGGGACAGGGGCATTCTAAATTCCCGTGAGCATCTTACAGGGACAGAGATTCTTTAATGGGATAGGGACATCCCGAATGGGATGGGGGCACATGAAATGCACAGGGACATCCAAAATTCCTAAATTCCTGGGGACGTCTTAAAGGGACTGGGAAAATTTGAAGGGATGGAGGCATCTTAAAGGGCCAGGGGCACCCTACATTGAATCAGAGCATCTTAAAGGGACAGCAACCCCGTAAAGAGCCCGGGGCCTCCCAGCCGGTGACAGGGCACGGCAAAGGGCTGGCGACCCCCCCGGGGGTCGGGGGGCTTCTTAAAGGGCCAGCTCCCATTGTGCTCCAAGGGAGGGGATCCCACCGCACCCCCCGTGCCCCCCCCCGCCGTCTCGGTGCTCACCTGGGCTGGCGGGGGCCGGGAGCGGGCGGGGGGCGGGGGGGGGGCCCGGGGGCTCCATGGCGGGGCCCGGGGCGGCGGCGGCGGCGGCGGGCGGGGGCAGACCGGGGTGGGGACGCTGCCGTGGGGCCCCTGGGGCTCCTTTAAGGGCTCCTGGGTAAATTTAAAGGGGCCGCACGCCTTTCCCATCCCCCCCCC